TATATATATATATATATATATATATATATATATATATATATATATATATATATATATATATATATATATATATATATACAACATATACTCAAGTTTGTCTTCTTGACACTACGACAGGAAACGGAAGCAATTAGTAATCTGAAAAAGAAAGTTGCTGGTCTGGAAAACGAAAACGCAGAATTAAATGCGGTGAGTATGAAAGGAGTATTTTCTTAATTATTTATATATATATATATATATATATATATATATATATATATATATATATATATATATATATATATATATATATATATATACAAAAAACAATACAAGTTATCTCTTATATATATATTCGGAGGTCGCAGGTTCAAGACCCAGCAGCGGCAGACAACATCTTTCTGCTTGCGCTGGGTATGGAAATTATATAATACACACACTAGAACATTTTCATCTTTATATATATATATATATATATATATATATATATATATATATATATATATATATATATATATATATATATATATATATATTAAGATGAAAATGTTCTAGTGTGTGTATTATATAATTTCCATACCCATGCGCAAGCAGAAAGATGTTGTCTGCCGCGGCTGGGTCTTGAACCCGCGACCTTCGAATTACTAGATCGACGCTCTACCAACTGAGCTACACAGTCGGACGGATTTAAGACTGGAAATTATGAGATTATGAAATAATGAAATAATTATGAAATAATAATGCTTGCGCTGGGTATGGAAATTATATAATACACACTCTAGAACATTTTCATCTTAACATATTACAGAGTGTACAATAACAATTAACATAACACTTGCAGAACTAGTATTGTTCGATGCTGAATTAATATAAACATGCAAATAGCGTTCAAAGTGTTGAAAAACATGCAAATAGCGATCAAAACAACGGCTTTGACAACCCGGGATTAGCAACTGCTTATTTCTGTTGCGATATTTTTTATTTCTGTTTGGAAACTTATTGCTCAAAACGAGCCATCAAATTCATGAAAAAATTAAAACGAATTTCAATTGCGTGTTGAAAATAAGAGAGGGACTCACAACGTTGCTACATGGTTGTAAAGCAAAAAAAAATTTCTACCGTACCGGGTTCGAACCGGTGACCTAAGGAATACTGATTTGGTAATAACTACAGTCCTTTGCTCTACCAACTGAGCTAACGGTGGGTTTTAAAAGCTAACTTCTATTTCATACTTTTATGCATGCAAACTATGAGAAACCTCTTGTCGTTTTATTACAAATTTTGTCGGAAACTAGTTATAAAGCTAATTGGTTGCCTGCCACATTTGGCCCAGGCTTGCCCGCGTTAATTGGTCGCGCTACCTGTCACGTTTGGCCCAGGCCTGCCCGCGTTAATTGGTCGCGCTACCTGGTGTCATAGATTTTGCAAGTCATTATAAATTCCGCCAGAGTGTTAGCTGAACAAAGTGACGTCATAGACTTTGCATACTAATTAATTTCGACACCTAAGTTTGCATACTAATTACTTCCGCCGCCAGAGGGGGGGGGGGGGGTTACTACTGGCGAGGACGATCTGTGAACAAGGCTTAGTAATGTAATATAATGTAATGTAATTTGATTGTTTCTGAAAAAACTGAAAAACTAAAAAAAAAACAGGTCGGCCAAGCCACTCCCATTATAACCCATTATAATAACCTGATTCTTTTTGTGTTTTTTTAGAGACTCTCTGTTGTGATAGCAGCGCCCGCACCAGCCGGTAAGTAATATACAATTACTTTATGCTTTCCGTGTTTGGATGGCCTGATCCAAACACGCGGGAATGTTGCGAGAGTTAAGAAAAGCGAGCGAAATCACGAGCCGAAGGCGAGTGATTTTGCCCGCTTTTCTTAACTCGAGCAACATTCCCAAGTGTTTGGATCAGTCCATCCAAACACGGAAACCATAAAGTAATTGTTTTATAAAATAACAACAACACGATAGTCTTCCATGTTTGGATGGCCTGATCCAAACACGGCTTTTGACCAATCAGAACACGCGTTATATACATGTTATTTTATAATCTTACGTCAACATTCAAGCATCATCTCTTAGTTGTGATAACTACTTTTATGATTTATAATTGATTGACTTGAAATTCGTGACAAACCCACGGCCCAGTTGAGCTGTGTGAGAAATCACGCTGCCTATAGAAGAAAATCGTGAAAGCCGATTTACACTACACAACTTTTGCCTAAAACCGTCGCGTGCAACCTGCTTATATGCATATATGCACACAACTCACCTACGTTGTCGAATAAATCTGCGGCCTATTTGAGCTGCGTGAGAAGTCATGTCACGTTTTGTGTGGTGTAATTCATTTCGCATCTATAATAATCTAATATACCTTAATTAATTCAAAAAAGAATTAATTAAATACAGTGTTTAATCGACGTTCATTTTACCACATGACTACAACTTTGATTATTGAAAATCTAATATTTACGTACCTCAGTTTACATAAAGTGCTACTTACACTTTCAGATATCTCTTTTACTTATTTAATTTGCTGCTTTTGCATTGTGCATTTGATAAAACACAGCATCCAGGTCAATAACCCATAAGTAGTCTTTTTGAGTAAAACAAAGAAATAAATCACAAAGAAATAAATCTGTTTAATAATTGAATAATTGTTAATATGCACATGTTATAACGAAACAAAAAACAGCGAAAGTACTTTTAAAACAATTTGTATTTCAGCTTTAAATATTTTTTTTTTTTATCAGGAATAGCTTTAAAGAATATCTGTACACTACACACTGTTAAATAAAACTTTGTGACTTTCTTTGAGTTTGGCAAAACCGCAGCTTCGTTTAGTGCAAAAATTTGCTCGTCTGCAAACGGGAACAAAACCTGAAGACATTTTGTTTTTGTCCGGAAGTGCAAGGAAATCTGGAGTTGACCAACCAATCAAATTGCGCGAAAAGCACTATGCATCTCCTCAGTATATACAGCTATTTCAATTAAGGTTTTCCACGAGCAAAGCGGAAAAGTCGAATACGAGCGCGAAAGGCTGCTGGGAATCGCTATGAAAATTCATTATTTTTTTAGGAATTTCCAGCAACCTTTCGTGCTCGTATTCGACTTTTCCGCTTTGCTCGTAGACAACCTTAATTGGGATAGCTGTAAATACGTCTATCATCTTTGTTCTAACCACTATACAAGTATCCAGTACAAACCATCTGTTCGACTGTTCTACGTTCCTTCAAACTTGCTCCGAATTTAGCTCGAATTAGCTTCATTTTAATATGGTCTGTACTGTTTGTTGTGAGAGCTCATGATACACTGGAAAGACCCAACTGAAAATGAAACTGAACTCAAGTTAAAAATTACATGACTTATTGTAAAGAAACTGATTTAATATATTTACTTGTTCTTTTGATAATATAGTGGATCAAGCTAAATTGACTGAATTTATGGAGAAAGGGACTTCACTGGACACAAAGGTTTGTTTTCATCTATTCTGCCTTACTACTGTTTATACGGCTAACTATTGTATTGTGACTTATACGGCTAACTATTGTATTGTAACTCATGTACTGTGCCTTACTACTGTTTATACGGCTAAGGTGAAATACAAAATACTATACTCAAATATAGTGATATAATTAACCTCTCCAGTACCTCCACACAGAAATCATGACGCGGGTAATCCCAATTGAAATGGCTCCTGCAAAGGCTATATATAGTGCTACAATTTGTTAAAGTACAGACACATGGTGCAGTTACTGTATCATCCCGTATCCTGTCGTTATTTTGTTATATTAGGGACTTTAAGCTTCACGTTTGCGGGAACGGCAAACGGCAAGACCAACTTTTCTCAGCATAATTTGCGTTCGATTTCTGCATGTCATCTTTTCTTTCATATGACATAGGAATAGTTTAGCACTCTAGTTATAAGCCAACAAGCCCATTTACATTTTATTGCTTTGTAGCATAAACTTTTCCTTTGCCTAATGTTTGTCGTTTGTCGTTGAACGCAAAGCTTAAGCACTCTATTAATAAAACAAGCGAACAAACCATAGCGGGATAGGGGAATTTTCCGTCGTTACGCGAGCACTCGACTATAGAGCTTAAAGGAATTATCGACTACATGGGAACCAGTTCGTGCATGGAACACTGCAGTAAATAGGGCAGGAATCTGTTTAATATTTGGGTTTTTTCAGCTTGAGCTAGAGACGATACTACGACACAAAACGGAGGCAATTAGTAACCTGGAAAAGAAAGTTGCTGGTCTGGAAAAAGAAAACGCAGAATTAAAAGCGGTGAGTATGGAAGAATGAAAAAATGAAAGGAGTATTTTCTTAATTATTCATGCTGTGTATGAAACAGTACAGAACGTAACGCAGTAAATATAGTCTCAAAATTGTGTGCGGCGAAACAATATATTTGACCAATTCAAAAATAAAATGGCAGACAAAATTATAAAAAAACAAATTGTTCAATGGTTCAGGGCACATTCGATTTGTACTCTGCCATTTTCGATAGCGGTTTGCTATAAGTCAGTTACAGAAGTTGGGCAAATACATAAGTTTATACCCGGTATATATATATATATATATATATATATATATATATATATATATATATATATATATATATATATATATATATATATATATGAAAAAGTTTTGGTTGCCATGCCTGGATATATTATGTGCTTGGTGTTGGTAGTGATTTCTTCAGGCATCAGTTAATAAATGCTTTTCAGGTTATCCATTTTCGATTCATATAATTGTCTAATAGCTAAGCTCAGGCTAATTAATAACTTTCGGGAAGGATATATTGGCCTGGACACCGCAACTCTTATCATATATTCATCCGGTTTTCAAGTTGTTGCCTCTTCGCTTGCTTATTTCCCCTCTCTGGGTTTTTCTATGTATCTTCGTTTCTTCATGGTTTTCTTCATGGTTTTCGGTAAAATCGTCAATTCTGCGTATGTGTATAACTAACACATATCCACTATAATAATAATAATAATAATAATAATAATAATAATAATAATAATAATAACACTTTATTTAACGAGGATTTACAGATAAAGCTACAGTACAGCTTGTTTCCAATCTGGTCCTCTTAAGTTCTAGAAATATATTACATCACGTGATTACAATACTCATGCAGTTAACATTCTTTAGAAACGTAGGATATACAGTCACGGATGCGTCACAAACACACAACATACACAGATACATTCCAATCACACTACATTAACAGTCTATAACTATCAACAGTATTAAAGTTTTTATATTAATATAATCTTTTTGTGTTCAATTCAGTCATGTTAGCCAGTTTGTTCTTAAGGTGTTCTTTACAGAACGATCTAAACCTGCGTGTTGTGGTAAGTTTTTTTCCCACGTCTGGAAATAATAATATCATATAATATAATATTTATCATTTATAGACCCGGAGCGAGGGGGATTCGGCGTAATATTTCCCGAGGTGATGATATTTTCCGAGGGGCTTTGCCCCGAGGAAAATATCATCACTGAGGGAAATATCGCCGAATCCCCCGAGCGGTGGGTCTATAAATGATATATTATACCGAAAGTTAAAGTACTCACTAAGTTCAGAATAAACTTAAATAAAACTTGCTGAATCTTATAAAATACGCCAATATATTAATACAATTTTTAATTTCTTATGTATACCTGAGTTTTTAACGTTTCCTCTTTAAAATATTTGAGCATGTATCCTTTGGATCATTAAAGGTAACATACAGTACGTCTTGAAAATGTTTTGGTAAGTCAAATATTCTGTACGAAAATACGAAATCACAAACAACAGCTCGCGAACGCCATATTTTTTTAGACCGTGGTGTCCACGCGTCACGCGTGAGCGTGGGATACTATAATATCCCACGGTGGATCTGCCGTGGGATATTATAGTATCCCACGCTGGATTGCGAAATCATTAATTTGAGTAAAATGCCGTAAAAAATCACATTATCACGTGGTACAAATGCTGTTTTTTCATTGGACAATTTGAATTTGAGGTATAATATAATATAATATAATATAATATAATATAATATAATATAATATAATATAATATAATATAATATAATATAGAGTAACAAGTAAAAAGAGGCGTAAGAGGAAACAAACATATATCCGACATGACCACAGAACGTTTAGTTTTGCTGCGTGTATCCGTGTTAACGTTGCAGCTACCTGAGTTGTCACATTTTCTGTGGTTTATAGTGGGTATATATAACAGTTTAATAAAAGGAGAATCTGTTGTATGTTACGCATCACTAATGATCAATCAGTTTGTATCTGCGAAGCAGATATATGTACTATTTACAACATGAGCGGCCGTGTTGTATCGGGAAAATACGAGAAACAGCTATGCAAAGATTAAACAAGTGAAAGTGAAATCAGTGAAAGATCAAACAAGTTTTGGAAAATATATCTGTCATATCCGAGATCGATTTCATAACACTACTCATACTATTTCGGCCCAAAAACTACAAGGTAAAGGTAATCACGCTTTCTCAATTTTATTTTAAAAATACATGGATGTTTCGGTCCCTACAAGGGTTAACATAAATAAATCCAAGCTCCTAACAAAACAAGTTTTGGCGTAGGTTAAACAAGTTGTACATTTCTTAATTATAATACATGGTAATATTCTTAATCCTTTCAAACTTCAGGCAAGGATGAAAATGATGATGCTTCCGAAAAATGTTTTGCAGGAATTATAGCTAATGTTAGCAATTCTGCTGGGCATTTCAGTCGTGATTTTAATATTGCTTATTTCATTTATCAAAATCGTGGATTCAAATCATCAAAGACCAAACCGCAGAGCAACAGCAAGGACAGCAATAATTCAAAAGATATTTATGAAAATCCTGCCAATATATAACCAGCGTGGCGGCACTTTTATAAGTAGAGCCTGCCCGAAAGCCCTAATCAAATTGATAACCCTCGGCAGCCAGCCGCCGACAATTGTGATTGGCTGAATTTGCGTTGACGACAGTTTCATTGACATGTTAAGATAATTTATTCAAATATTTAAAAATAAATACAGCAAAAACGCTGAGGACTAGGTCCCTCACGCTGAGGACAAGGTTCCACACGCTGAGGACAAGGTTCTTCACGCTGAGGACAAGGTTCCTCAAGCTGAGTACAAGGTTCCCCACACTGAGGACAACCTCCCTCACGCTGAAGACAACGTTCTTCACGCTGAGGACAACGTTCTTCACGCTAAGGACAAGGCCACTCTCGCTGGGATAAGATTCCTCACGCTGACGACAAAGTCGTCACGCTGAGGAAAAGGTTTCTCACGCTGACGACAACGTTCCTCACGCTTATAACAAAGTTCCTCTCGCTAACGACAAGGTTCCTCAGCCTGACGACGAGGATCCTCACGCTAAAAACAAGGTTCTTCAGCCTGAGGACAAGGTTCCTCAAGCTGAGTACAAGGTTCCTCACGCTGAAGACAACGTTGCTCACGCTGAGGACAACGTTCCTGACGCTGAAGACAACGTACCTCACGCTGAGGACAGCGTACCACACGCTGAGGACAGCGTTCCTCACGCTGAGCACAAGGTTTCCCTTGCTTAGGACAACGTTCCTCACGCTGACGACAAGGTTCTCACGCTGAGGACAACGTTACTCACGCTGAGGACAACGTTCCTCACGCTGAGGACAACGTACCTCACGCGGAGGACAACGTACCACACGCTGAGGACAACGTTCCTCACGCTGAGCACAAGGTTTCTCTTGCTTAGGACAACGTTCCTCACGCTGACGACAAGGTTCCTCACGCTGAGGACAACGTTCCTCACGCTTTGGACAAGGTTCCTCACGCTGAGGACAAGGTACCTCACGCTGAGGACAAGGTTTCTCACGCTGAGGACACAAGGTTCCTCAAGCTGAGTACAAGGTTCCTCACGCTGAGGACAACGTCCCACACGCTGAGGACAACGTTCCTCACGCTAAGGACAAGGCCACTCTCGCTGGGATAAGGTTCCTCACGCTGACGGCAAAGTCCTCACGCTGAGGAAAAGATTCCTCACCCTGAGGATAAGGTTCGTCGCTCAGAGGGCAAGGTTCCTCAAGCTGAGGACAAGGTACCTCACGCTGAGGACAAGGTTCGTCGCGCTGAGGACAAGGTTCCTCAAGCTGAGGACAACGTTCCTCACCCTGAGGACAACGTTCCTCACGCTGAGGTCAACGTTCCTCCCGCTGAGGACAATGTTCCTCACGCTGATGTCAAGGTTCCTCGCGCTGAGGACAAGGTTCCTCACGTTGAGGACAAGGTTCCTCACGCTGAGGACAAGGTTCCTCCCGCTGAGGACAATGTTCCTCAAGCTGAGAACAACGTTCCTCACGCTGAGGACAACGATTCTCACGCTGAGGTCTAGGATCCCACGGTGAGGACAAGGTTCCTCAAGCTGAGTACAAGGTTCCTTACGCTGAGGACAACGTCCCTGACGCTGAGGGCAAGATTCCTCACGCTGAGGACAAGATTGCTTCGCTGAGAACAAGGTTCCTCACGCTAAAGACAATGTCCCTCACCATGAGGACAACATTCCTCACGCTTTGGACAAGGTTCCTCACGCTGAGGACAAGGTTCGCCACGCTGAGGAGAAGGTTCCTCTAGCTGAGGACAAGGTTTCTCACGCTGAGGACAAGGTTCGTCGCGCTGAGGACAAGGTTCCTGAAGCTTAGGACAAGGTTCCTCAGCCTGAGGACGACGTTCCTCAGCCTAAGGAAGACGCTCCTTACGCTGAGGTCAAGGTTCCTCGCGGTGAGGACAAAGTTCCTCGCGCTGAGGACAAAGTTCCTCACGCTGAGGACAAGGTTCCTAACGCTGAGGACAAGGGTCCTCACGCTGAGGACAAGGTTCCTCGCGCTGAAGACAAGGTTCCTCACGCTGACGACAAGGTTGGTCACGCTGAGGAAAAGGTTCCTGACGCTGAGGACAAGGTTCCTCATGCTGAGGACAAGGTTTCTCACGCTGAGGACAAGGTCCTCAAGCTTCCTGAGGACAAGGTTCCTCACGCAGAGGACAACGTCCCTCACGCTGAGGCAACGTTCCTCACGCTAAGGACAAGGCCACTCTCCCTGGGATAAAGTTCCTCACGCGGACGACAAAGTCGTCAGGCTGAGGAAAAGGTTTCTCACGCTGAGGACAACGTTCCTCACGCTGAGGACAACGTTCCTCACGCTGACGACAACGTTCCTCACGCTAAGGACAAGGCCACTCTCGCTGGGATAAGGTTCCTCACGCTGACGGCAAAGTCCTCACTCTGAGGAAAAGATTCCTCACCCTGAGGACAAGGTTCGTCGCTCAGAGGGCAAGGTTCCTCAAGCTGAGGACAAGGTACCTCACGCTGAGGACAAGGTTCGTCGAGCTGAGGACAAGGTTCCTCAAGCTGAGGACAACGTTCCTCACCCTGAGGACAACGTTCCTCACGCCGAGGTCAACGTTCCTCCCGCTGAGGACAATGTTCCTCACGCTGATGTCAAGGTTCCTCGCGCTGAGGACAGGGTTCCTCACGTTGAGGACAAGGTTCCTCACGCTGAGGACAAGGTTCCTCCCGCTGAGGACAATGTTCCTCAAGCTGAGAACAACGTTCCTCACGCTGAGGACAACGTTTCTCACGCTGAGGTCTATGATCTCACGGTGAGGACAAGGTTTCTCAAGCTGAGTACAAGGTTCCTTACGCTGAGGACAACGTCCCTGACGCTGAGGACAAGATTCCTCACGCTGAGGACAAGATTGCTCTCGCTGAGAACAAGGTTCCTCACGCTAAAGACAATGTCCCTCACCCTGAGGACAACATTCCTCACGCTTTGGACAAGGTTCCTCACGCTGAGGACAAGGTTCGCCACGCTGAGGAGAAGGTTCCTCTAGCTGAGGACAAGGTTTCTCCCTCTGAGGACAAGGTTCCTCAAGCTTAGGACAAGGTTCCTCAGCCTGAGGACGACGTTCCTCAGCCTAAGGAAGACGTTCCTTACGCTGAGGTCAAGGTTCCTCGCGCTGAGGACAAAGTTCCTCACGCTGAGGACAAGGTTCCTAACGCTGAGGACAAGGTTCCTCACGCTGAGGACAAGGTTCCTCGCGCTGAAGACAAGGTTCCTCACGCTGACGACAAGGTTGCTCACGCTGAGGACAAGGTTCCTCATGCTGAGGACAAGGTTCCTCACGCTGAGTACAACGTTCCTCACGCTGAGGGCAACGTTCCTCAAGCTGAGGACAACGTCTCTCACGATGAGGACAACGTTCCTCACGCTTTGGACAAGGTTCCTCATGCTTTGGACAAGGTTCCTCACGCTGAGGACAAGGTTCCTCACGCTGAGTACAACGTTCCTCAAGCTGAGGACAACGTCTCTCACGCTGAGGACAACGTTCCTCACGCTGAGGTCAAGGTTCCCACGCTGAGGACAGGTTCCTCTCGCTGAGGAAAACGTTCCTCACGCAAAGGACAACGTTCTTCTCGCTGAGGACAAGGTTCCTCACGCTGACAACGAGGATCCTCACGCAGAAAACAAGGTTCTTCAGTCTGAGGACAATGTTCCCACGCTGAGGACAAGGTTCCTCACGCTGAGTACAACGTTCCTCACGCTGAGGACAACGTTCCTCAAGCTGAGGACAACGTCTCTCACGATGAGGACAACGTTCCTCACGCTGAGGTCAAGGTTCCCACGCTGAGGACAAGGTTCCTCACGCTCCCGACAACGTTCCTCACGCTTACGACGTGGATCCTCACGCTGAAAACAAGGTTCTTCAATCCGAGGACAAGGTTCCTCGCGCTGAGGACAACGTTCCTCACGCTGAGGACAACGTTCCTCAAGCTGAGGACAACGTCTCTCACGATGAGGACAACGTTCCTCACGCTGAGGTCAAGGTTCCCACGCTGAGGACAAGGTTCCTCACGCTCCCGACAACGTTCCTCACGCTTACGACGTGGATCCTCACGCTGAAAACAAGGTTCTTCAATCCGAGGACAAGGTTCCTCGCGCTGAGGACAACGTTCCTCACGCTGAGGACAACGTTCCTCAAGCTGAGGACAACGTCTCTCACGATGAGGACAACGTTCCTCACGCTGAGGTCAAGGTTCCCACGCTGAGGACAAGGTTCCTCACGCTCCCGACAACGTTCCTCACGCTTACGACGTGGATCCTCACGCTGAAAACAAGGTTCTTCAATCCGAGGACAAGGTTCCTCGCGCTGAGGACAACGTTCCTCACGCTGAGGACAACGTTCCTCAAGCTGAGGACAACGTCTCTCACGATGAGGACAACGTTCCTCACGCTGAGG